ACAACACCACAATCTGATCATCGACACTCGCAAACGGAGGCTAGTAGACGGAAACACTGATTTGTCCGTTTGCGTAACTTCCTTTACTGGTTGTAGAGTATCCCCAGTCACAGTTAAACATATGATAGACCCACTCTATCAACCACTACTCGATAAGTACCCTGGGATACAACAAACTCAACCGAAACTACCGTGTGTAACCAGCAATGTTACACATCACATCACGACTACAGGACCACCTGTATTCTCTAAAGCACGACGACTAGCTCCCGAAAAGCTAAGGTTAGCGAAAAACGAATTCGATCACATGATGGACTTGGGAATCATACGACCGTCAAGTAGCCCATATGCATCTCCATTGCACATGGTCCCTAAAAAGGACAGCAACGATTGGCGTCCAACTGGTGACTATCGGCGATTGAACGCGAAAACCATTCCCGATCGTTACCCGTTGCCTCACATTCACGATTTGACAGCTACTTTGAAAGGTACAACTGTCTTTTCGAAAATCGACTTGGTTAAAGCATATAACCAAATCCCTATGGCTACTGACGATATACCGAAAACAGCTATCATAACTCCCTTCGGACTCTATGAATTTTTGCGAATGCCTTTCGGTCTAAGAAACGCTGCTCAAACATTCCAAAGATTCATAGACGACGTTGTCCGAGGTCTCAACTTCGTACATGCGTATGTTGACGACTGCTTAATCGCAAGTCCGGACAGAGAATCACATCTCAAGCATCTGGATCTTGTTTTTGAACGACTACAAAAACATGGCATTACTGTTAACATTCAGAAATGACAATTCGGAACCGACTCATTAAACTTCCTAGGACACACTATAGATGCTCGAGGTATTCGACCCCTTAGGACCGAAGTGGCGGCCATTTTGGATAACCCAGAACCCACCACGATCAAGCAACTACGAACGTTTAACGGCCTAGTAAGTTTCTATAGACGACTCGTACCTAAATGCGTATTACTCATGAAACCGCTAACCGACCAACTTCGTGGAAATGCGAAATCCATTAATTTGAACGACAGCGCACGAAAAGCATTCTCCACAATTAGGGAACTCATTGCTAAAGCAACAATACTTGCACATCAGGACACCAGAGCACCCATTAGTATCGCAGTAGACGCATCCGACTCAGCAATCGGAGGAGTTGTAGAATTATGGTCTACTATGATATTAGTACTGCTCTAATAATAGACCTAATCCTAAATTTGTAGATTTGTCATGATATAACTGCCTAATCTATAAGATCTTACGTGGAAGTCACATCATCGACTACACCAACTCACCGTATCGTAAGAACTACCAATACATGATGAAGAACAAGCTTAGGCTAGAGAAAGAACAATATATTTAATATGAATAGAAGATATAAAGTAACATTGAGATGGACCACGCCTGCATGGCCGAGCCATGCCACTCGATCAACCCCAGTCCATTCAATTCATTCTCTGCACCTTCTCCATTGTTAGGTATTTCCCCGAGTTAAATATTGAATATCTATTTTCTGAGTAGTCTCGTGTTCACAGCTTTGTGGATTGTGTGGCTATTGTCCAATGCCACTACAGAGTCTTACGACAATGGGCTAACAACTCCTGGCAACAATTGGCATTTTTCTCTAGACGGTTGCTAGACACCGAATCGAGGTACAGCACATTCGGTAGGGAACTCCTAGCTATATACTGTGCTGTACGACATTTTCAACACTACATCGAAGATCGTGAATTCACTCTTTTCACTGACCATAAACCACTCACCTTCTCTCTAAGCTCTACTTCAGACAAGTACTCTCCTTGTGAGTCTCGACAACTGGACTACATTTCGCAGTTTACTTCAGACATCCAACATATTTCGGGAGCGAACAATGTAGTTGCAGACGCCTTATCTCGCATAACTTCCTTGAACAGTTTCCAAGGAATCGACCTTCTTAAATTCGCCGAGCTTCAAAAAGAAGACCGTGACCTTCAGCACGAGTTATCGTCTACAACCCTTAAACTACGCACAAACAGATGGGAACATGTAAGGAAACCTTACTGTGTGACACATCTACTGGCAGGGATCGCCCAATCGTGCCGAAACATTATCGACGCGACGTCTTCAATACGTTGCACAAACTTTCTCATCCAGGTGTTTGTGCAACGATCAAGCTTATAGCAGAACATTTTCGCTGGCCTAGCATGGATAAAGACGTGAGGGAGTGTGCACGCCCCTGTGTAAGCTGCCAATAATCTAAGACCATCAGACACAATAAATTTCCCTTAGGCTCATTTAAAACTTCATAAATGTAATAACTTTTCAATTTTTAGCGCCTCGGCATTGATTTACAGCATTAGTCAGGACAATACATACGAGTAATGATACGGATAAAAAGCAAGTCTTTTGCATCCTTGAAAAATGTCTGCTGGACAACGACCATTTTATTTATCGTGATGATGTGACTGCTAAGGATATTATTGATAGTGTCGACTGTGATAGTCGCTTCACTTTGAGAAAATGCACCGTACTGGATCGCTGTGATAAGTTATAATCACTTTAAATTCATTGTTTTTAGCCGAGGAAATGAAAATCTGTTTAACCGCAGTACTCGGTTACAGTAAGAAAATTACAACAGATGATGAAACTCTACCGTATGAGGCGGAAAAGTCGAAAAGGCAAATTGTTCAACTTACTGAATCACTTTTTTGTTAGGGCTGCTAAACAAATTTTAATGATTATTTATGTACCTCTGAAGAACTAGAGATTGCTTAGGTTGAAGCTGGATTTGCCCCGGTCGACTTTCTAGTTGTCAACATTTTGACAGGAAAACGTTCACCTATAGCGAAGTATGTACCTATGTGATCAACGCTCATAAAGTAGTTAATCGAAAACAGAGGTTTTCTCATCACCGCTTCTATGTACATCAATGGAAGTTAATAAACTGTAAGTCGGAGTTCATGTGAACATGATAAGAAAAGGTTGTGCAATGATGACAGTAAAACGCTAAAAATGATCATGAAAGCAGCCGCTGAACAGTCTAGCAAGACAGATAAACCGATTGCTTTCAATGAACGTTCATTCATGGGAGTAATGGACAAGCGTACCAACCAAGTAGACAATTCAACTATTCCTTTCCCATTAAGAACACATGAGAAGTTGTGTTCTTGTGTAGTTGCTTTAGATGACTTAAAGTTCCGTGATCAGTTCGTAAGTTCTTATAGGTGTTTGAACAAATTTCAGGTGGCCAGATTGTACGAGCTCATATGTGATGACCCTCGTAAATCAGCAAAAGCCTGTCTAAGTAACCTGTTGTCACCGGAACTGGTGAACACGTACACATTACACGGAACGAAAAGTAAATTTGGTATTAGTAATACAAATTTTACCGAACGGTTCAGAGTAAGTCTACAAAGTATTAATATATTCGTAGGTGTTCTTTGTTTCCCATTCTGAAGTGCAACCTGTCCCGAAAAAGAAGTAGTACACTCCATGGATGTTGCGAGCCAGGCTTTCTTGCATGACACACGAGATAAAGTAAATAAGCGTGGGTAGAGATCCAAACAAAGGGTGGGCTAATAGCACTTTACATGTTTGATTTATAAATACTGCAATTTTAATATTACTTTGTGATAAATATTTATACTGAAACAACTTTTTCCTTGTCAGTAAAAAGATTATTTCTTGTCCATCTTGCTTTCAGCTGGCTTCACAAGTTTTAACAGACGTAACTGTATGATTTTGTTCGCATTATAACCAACAATGTTATGTCGTTGATATGGTGTCGACGTTTTACATATCATGACATTTGCTTTTAAACTAAAGAATATTTTTTTACTTTTGTAGAACATTGAATGGTAGTTCAACGTCTACGTAACGTGCTTATGTTACAAAGCAACGAAGAAAACATGTATAAATCAATGATTTATAATTTTATAAATCGTAATAAACATTTCAGTGTGTCATGAATCAGTCTTTTAATTACAGCGATAGATCGATTAAAGTTAAGTTTCTGTGTTCACTGCGTAATTGACTAAAAATAATGAAATATCGCAGTAAAAAGTGTACGTATTTATTCTCGCCTGGCTTTTCTGTGATATCTGTAAAAATTTGTTGAGAAGTATTGCGATAAAGCGAATTTGCCAAAACAGCAATAAGATTATGGTGAAATTAAGGGGGAAAGCGCGAAAATCAGGGGAAATTTAGGGAAAACGCGTTGGGAAAAAAAAGCAAAATTCAGCGGAAATCTTTGGTGACAGAGACCCTAAAGTCAAGGGAAGTTTCGGGGATTTATTAATAAATATAATATAATAATATTCTGCGGAAAATTTGCGGAAATATCAGGGAATTTCGGGATTTTTGTGCCATTTCCGCAAAATAGATCCGAAGTTCACTATGGCGGCTTCTCCAAAATTTCCTTCAAATGTCACGTTTTACCCAAAGTGGAGATATTGGGCGAACCAACCTTGTGAACTTCAAACTTACTTCAGTAGATATGGTTTTCATAACTTCCGGCCGTAATGTCATGTCGTTGGAGCCTCAGTCTAATGCATTACTGTAAATCACATTTTGGATCAAATTTATATGCAAGCTGTTACAAATGAGATCCTGAGTGACTGGAATTAAAATACTGTTTACTGATAAAAACCACTTTAGTCGACATGCAAAAAACAGAAACGAAGGAGTTTACATTAAAATCTCAGGTCACTGATTTATAGAACTTCTTAACGGGGCGAAAGCGACAGCACTTCCTGACGATCATCTCAGGAGAAAGCGCGATATTTACTCCAGTTCTGTGGATGCTGAAAGGGATTACTTCAGATGTTACTTTTCCTTCAATGCATTAATAATTAAAGTGATCTGAATATTCGTCTTCTAGAAGAAAAATCTGAGAGTATCTTACTGCTCCTTAAACAAAATTAATCTCTTACTGTGAGACAAAGATATCAAAGTACAAGTAGTTCGTTAATTTTACGTTGCAATGTTTGAGGTTTGAACGCTTGGACATTGAAACCAAAGTTCGGTGTGGCGGGATTGTGCGGAATCGCGAGGTTCGAACTTCATAATGGACCAGAGTCTTGATGATATTATCCAACAGAAACGCATCAGAGTAACTAGAGGTAGAGGTCGTGGACGCGGTCGCGGTGGCGAATCTTTGCGAGGTGTTCGTCGTGGTGGAATCGCGCGGCGAAACACAAATGGAATGGTATCCATGTAAAATAATTATTCATTTTTTAGTCACGAGCCTTACCTGACAAATGGCAGCACGATATGTTCCAAGATGGTCGTAGCCCCAAAGGATCTGGTAATACAGTTGGAAATGCGGCGAGGCTGCACATTTCAAACTTAGACTTTGGTGTTAACAATGATGATATAAATGTAGGTATCTGAGCTATTAATAATCTTGTAGGAACTTTTTCGTGAGTTTGGTGCAATTCGAAAGGCTACTGTCCATTATGATAGAAGTGGTCGTTCTCTTGGCACCGCAGAAGTCGTTTTCGTGAATCCACTTAGTGCAACAAAAGCCAAAAATCACTACAATGGTGTACCGCTCGATGGGCGCCCAATGGTCATTCAGTTGGTCGGTGCAGGTTAGTCAACACACAGTCAGCCACGTCGACCAGGAAATCACTTCCGTAGCAACTGTTGACTTCGTTACCATTCAGTGATGTTCCACCTTGTTTGGGAAGATAGTGCTTCCAAACTGACGTGCTGCCAGTATATGTTTTTGTTGTTTTCTATTGCTGGAATGTCTAAAACTTGTAATTCATGGTGTTACCAACTATGGAGCAAACCCACTTTCTCTCGGGGATTTTCACGTGCATCATTTTTCAAATGGTTGGACATTGGCGAGGAGCGTAGTGGAATTCGCCGTTGTCTCGAGGTTCTGGTATTACCATAATCATGGGCAGGGAGGTTTCCTTAGTTTTTCTTTATTTTGTGGGTTTGTTTGAATGTTGTCACATGGGCACACTTGGTGCCTACCATATGTGTTCTGCAAAAATATCTGCCAGAAGTATAACAAATAATTGAGCTTAAAGTGCTATATTGGTACTAACCAACCTGAACCATGCATATAATAAACTGAAGTTAAATTTCATTTCAATAATAAAATGGCAACAGTTTTGATGTTATTGAAGACTCACTAATTGACGCGTATTTTATTCCTCAAGCTGTTGAAACTAATGTAACATCACGTCCCCGCGTTACTCGCCCTCGTGGTTCACCGATTCGTCGGGGTTTCGGACGTGGTCGGGGTCGTGCACGTGGTCGCGGAAGGATTCAGAAACCTACAGTTACTAAGGAAGAATTAGACGCACAGTTGGCTGCTTATAATGCTCAGGTAATTCCTACATCTTTATTAATATGTTTCTGTTTGACTCCCAAGAATGTAAACCTGGTTTGTCTGACTTATTAAGCATCTAGGCAAAAGTAGCCGTTTAGTTCTCTGCTTAACTTTCTTCAAATCATAAGTGCCTAAACGAGTCCAGGACAGGTTATTCTTGACATGGGTTCAGAAATCTTATTACCGTGGTTACAGTTCGGCTTGAAACATAAACACTAGTGTGAGTACTCAGTTCGTAAATGATGTTATGCAACTTGATCAGGGTTTTAGGTTCGCTCCATACCTGATAATTATGTATCTAGATGTCTGTAAAATGAAATTCACTAGGCATAGAATTGGTGTCAAGTTTTTCTTTTGTGCTCGTAAAGTTGAAATTCTCTTGTCGGTCAGTACAACGTGAGATTATAATTTAAGAGGTCCTTCAAGTATATCATGTTATCCATGCAATTGTCATATATCTTGATCCACTGATTGATCTGGGTCATGTTTAAAGGTAGACTATTTGGTTGGTACGTAATAATTGTATGCAATGACCGTAGATGTTAACTGACATGAGCCTAGAACCGGTCGTAGTATCGTGGCTGCACTCGTTTTCTGTCCTCTTAATCATCAGTTAAGTACCATCCCTAGATGTCCAATCCAACTACTAACCGTGTTTTCTGTTTAAAATGTTACTATGTAAGTTTGCCTCAAAGTTAAAACACGCTCATATTCCTATTTATCTAGGATCCATCTCATTCTTTGTTTAGCTTTGTTTCCAAATTTTGCTATAATGTGGGTTACGTATTAGTGCTATTTTAAAAGTTACTCGTTTTTTGTTTTGGTGCAATCTACTTGCTTCATTTACACAGTTGCCCACTACAACAACTAAAACTGCTCTTTTAGGAGCTTGTGTAACTTCTAGTTTAAGTAATCTCGTAAAACGCACGAAAAATCTGCCTTTCCCCTCGCTTTTTTACAATGCTATTTAGTACAGAATATTGATAACTACTGACTGATGCAGTCAGTCAGTCAGTAACAACGTAGAACTTCGTACGTACGTACATCAGTTCGAGTTGCCACACCACATTAGCACAGAGATGCACTTGTCGATTCAAATCTCGTAGTGGTAGATGTAATAAGAGTATAAGCAGTAATCGGGAAGATTAGGGTTTGGAGATGTTATTTAAAGAGTATAATCCAGTGAAATAAATTTGGAAAGAGGAAAAAAGGGACATGAAGAATTCAGAAGATTAGAATTTGGGAGAACACAGAGAGTGGATGCACCTGCGCCATTGCAAACGATTTTGAGCCATGTCATTCAGGGTCTCTAACCATCGGTTGCTATCATCTCGCGGTCCCCAACCAGGTAGTCTACACCTACCAACATGACTCAGTTCACTTGTCAGTGACTTCATGGACTTGCGCCATGTTTTGGTTTGGCCGCCCCTAGCTTTCTTCCAACCTACTCCTATACCACTGAACATAGCACGTCGAGGCAGTCGGTCGTTGGGCATACGTAACACGTGTCCCAGCCATCTCAACTGATGAAGTTTCACTACTTCATCAATTGATTTGCCATCCTTACCTAGTACCCGTTTCCTAACAATTGTGTTACTTACTCGATGGTCCCATGATATACGAGCAATGTTTCGAAGACACCTATGATCGAATACTAGTAACCTACGGATATCCTCTACTCTTACCGGCCATGTTTCACTGCCATAAAGTAGGACGGAACGAACTGCTGCGCAGTAAACACGTCCTTTGGTTGATAGACGGATATCTCGCCTACTGATGCTCAGTGAATTGTAAGCAAATATGCACTGAGTTAAGTTGCTATGCTTCGCAGCATAGCAGTTAAAAGAGAACAAACCAAAGTAGTCCAAAAAACTGGTGGTGAATTAAATAGTAAGCTTATCTGAATGTGCATTTACCATCTTATTCAACAAAGTCCGTCGTCTCATTAATCTGTTATACAACTTTACCCGACATTATTTACGCAGCGGTTAAAGCACACATAACTTGCTTTAAAGGCATTCTTAATCTAATATAAACATGTTTCTAAATGCCGAACGAACATATATTAGTGCTGTGACTTATTTACTCTTAGATCTTGAGAAGGGTTCCATAATAAGTAGGTTAATGAGCATGAGTTCTTTCCAACACATAGTTAGCGTTAACACACCATTTTTCACTGAAAGGGAATAAAACCCATTCTATTATTCAAAAGTTTGGATTCCATCACAACCAAACAGGAGCTTGCCATTTGTTTACTAATCTGATGAGAGTTTCTGGTTATGAGGCTTATCTCTAAACAGAGTTATTTCTAGAGACATTATCAAAGGATCTCTAGAATTTACCTATCAGGACCTAATACTTTTTCACCTCAAAACTACAGTACTTTTTTACGAGTTGTCAATCTCAATCAGGTTGTCGGTGGATAATTAGTAGCTTAGTTAAACTGTTTCACATGATATTGTGCACATTTTTCTAGTCGACCAATCTTTGAGTTAGTCTGTGCTCCCCTTTTTTAGCAATAGTTTTGTTAATAGCCAACTCTATTCCACTTTGGCAAGTCTAAAGAGTTGTGTACTAATGCCTATCTTTTCTGCCTTTTCACTTTTATCCTTCTCTACCATTACCTAGACAATTTTTAAATCTAAGTCGCCTCCGCTCATAATTGTCCTTAAGGCTGGGCAAAATAACTTGACTCAGTAGACTCTAGCATCTCTCAGTCTTTTGGTTAAATTTACTGTAACAGTCCTCAGTGTCTTTTTGTGTGAATGAAGAGTAGAAGTATACAGGTCTCAAATATTATTGGAATAGTTTTGAATTTCTTGCAAACATTAGTATCATAGGACAAACGCTTCTATTTTCTTGTTAATAAGGTAGGTAAGTTTGTCTGCTTAGTACAGTCATTTCTTTTAATTAATAGCATTAAGAATAGAACGTCATCGCTGTCTGACGCACACATCACGTACTTGTGTTTAGGCAGTATATATGTATCTAGTGCATTTTTCGAAGAACTGATGGTTCATTATTAGCTTGTTAGTAATTTGTCTCCTCGTGCATTGACTTCCAGTGTTTATTCATACTAAACTGTATCTTTATTTCGTTCTATTTTCAGCGTGCTTGATCTATTCTCACAACCTCTTGTTTTTGGAGTAGACTCAACAAAATCTGTCAACTCTCCAAATCTCTTGTCCCTATTTAATGTATGTCTTTGAGTCCATATGAAAAATAAAACAATTTATCATATAAAAGTTTAATTTTTAGTATTTTATATTATCACTACCGGTAGGACAACAAAAAGAGGAACAATAGTTTTTTCTTTAAATACTCAAAATTCCTTGGAACAAAAAGTATTAGTTGTTAGGTGTTTGCTTTTGTTGGGGTGACATTTCATTTCAAGAAAAAATCCACTACAACTATGTTACGAACACCATTATGTGATTTTTGTGGATTGCACTGTTCGACCTTTAGAAGTAATTATAACAACAGCTGTCTCGTGCGATCGTTTCATAGGTGTGGTGTGATTGCTCATGTTCAGTTGACACTGAGATTCTTCTGATGTACTACCGTCAGGCGATAAAGTTGCATCAGGCAACTGATTGTCTTGTAGATTTCTGACTCCATTTGGATCTAATTAAAACATAAGATTCAATAATTACATATCTTAGGTATGGGTAAAAGCTATATCGAAATAAAAGACTAACATATATTTATCATTATAGACAGTCAGTGAGAAATAGTTTCACTTGAAACCAACATTGTTTCTGTGTGGAGTCATTTATTTCCAAGGTTTGTTTTAGATACGAACTTGGTGATATGCGGACAACCTGAACATGTGTGCCGGATTCCATATTGCGTATGACTGTCGTTTATTCCGATTGTTTTGTAAGATAATACGGAAAAAAAGAACAGTGTTCTTATTTTTAAGTTGAAAAGCCTATCGACAAATGTGAACCTTAGAGGTTTGTTACTTGGTATATAGCGTAAGAGGGGGGACCCATTTAAAATGAAGCTGTCTGTATACTGTCTAGTGATTCTGTAACACTGCTACCAGTTACATTCCTAGAACACTGCCATTTATATTCTAAACCGTAGTGTGCCCAAAGGCAGTAGCGTCTTACGAATCATTTCTGCTTGTCCACTCGAGGCGGCAGTTCAGTCTAGCATATTCCATACGTTGATAATTCCATAAATATGGTTATAGTTCTCATTAGCCGCATTGCACGGTAACGGCGGACGATCCAGGCTTATGCTCTCCTACCAATGGGTATAACTCCACCATCAGTAAGGTATTTACTACCTCAGTTTTTATTTATGGTTTTGAGTTGCAGTAGGTCAGCGATACCTTTCCCACGCTTATAAATATTCAATTTAACACTTGAAATAATATCGCCTGTTTCAAATCGATCATATTTCCTCTTTGGTGATGTTAAGAATTTCAAGTAGTATCTTGAGTCGATTGCCCTTTAGTCAAAAATAGTGTTTATCATTTCCAAGTACCTGGTGAATGAATAAACATGATTTCATCTGTGACGAATACAACCTACAAATAGCAAAGATTATTTAACATGTTAGTAAGTATTTAGAGCTTACTTAATTCATTGTAAAACAAAGCATTTTGCTATCAGTCTTTGTGCAATATTTACATGTAGTTTTATTTCTATACACACATATTATACAGCTCTGAACTTACCTTCAACTCGTTCAATACTAGAATTATCCACCTCCGAAGACTGTTCAGTATTTCCATTTGTCTGCTCATCTAGTTCATCATCGTCTTCTTCGTCACCCTCCTCCACTTCATCATCATCATGATAGCATAAATACTCATTTCTATAACTCATATCATTCCATGATGCATTTTTTCGCACGATTCTGCCACTAGTATTGTCATGTCTAATTTTTACATCTGATAAAGTTTCATCAATTACTGAATAACTAGATGGGAAATGATATTTACTATTACTACTTAATTTACAATTACATTGAAAAATTTCACTGGAACTCTCAAATAAATGTAGATTTTCAAAAATTGGTTTGCAAATATTATTATTAATATTAGTAGTGCTTTTAATAAGATTATGCGTTATCGGTGAACTACTCTTCCTAGCATCATCATTATTATGCAGTAATTCTTGGGAAATTGAATCTTGGTCAATATTAGCCGAGTTCGATTCGTAATATTTCATTCGTTTAGCTGGTTTTCTTATTGTTTTCATCGGATCCATAGGTCGGTCTATTCCTCTCGGTAGTGTTCTAGATTTGAATTTCGAATTCTGATGACGCAAATCATTCCCATCACTAGTTGTTTCACTTTCATTATCGTTTTGTGAAATACAACAAGACGACGACTCATCACCATTGTGGGAATTTTGTTTCTGATTTGGCATTATTATCCAGTTAGATGATGATGACGATGGTAATGCTGTTGATGGAGGTGCTACTTGTGGTTGGTATAGTTTTGTATGATATCGTTGTACGCTACTCATAATATTATTAGTAGTTGATGTGACAGGTGTTACTGATACTGTTGTTATTGTCGGCTTCATCATCGTCATGTTGGTTAATGATGGTAGGACATGTTTCATATCTTTTTTAGATAATTTATAGTGATGAGGATAGTTTTCATTTTCCATGTCTATCAGTTCACCGTTCGTAAACTGACTTAATTTATTTAAAGTGAGTAATTCCCGTGGAGTTGATTGAGTCTCTTGTATATATTGTGAAGAATCTTTTTGAGGTATACCAATTCTTTGGTGTAATGGAATGTTGCGTAGTTGTGATTGTTCTTGAAACTTGAAAATATTAAAAGTGGAAAAGCGTTTACTATTCAGCTAACTGCAAACAGTCTGTCCAGAAAATATGTGAACTGAACTACTCAAGTTTTTAGGACTGAACTTATGGGATTATACTTAAATATCTAGCTTAAATTTGTAGCCTGTCGTCTATGTGCGTTAGTTTAGTACTAATGACTAACTAGTCGTTACATCAGGACAACCCACTTGAAGATCCGTCAGTGTAAGAATCTTGTCCGTACTTCTGTCACTATGCTAGATCGTTCTCTATTAATTCACCATATTAGCCCTTTACAGTTCCGTTTTGTTACTGAAACATAAAATGGCCACCTAAAAAAGGCACTGGGTCAATGGAGATAGTGAAACGATATGGTTGCTAAAAAAGAATTTACTTGACACACTAGATTTTGTAAAATCCTCTTACAACTGATCCCATTTAAAGTTTTCAGGTAACGTTTAAGCGTTATAACCCTGACTGTCAAAAGTTGTAGCAGATTAACTTCGAGATAATGCCTTACGCCTTGTACATCAATCACCCTGATAACCGTTATTAAATGAGTCCTAACGGTATACAAATTCAGAAAGTAACACAAACTTTTAACTACAGTATTTTGTCGAATAGCACTGATCGATAAACCTCGAGTGGAAAAGCCAATGTGCGCGACCGAGCGAATTAAGAGTCGAATCAATGAATAAAATTCAAGCACATGCATATATATGGGAAGTGATGCGAAACGGAGATGGTCGTTAAACTAATGGGGAACGAAGCGAGGCGGAGATGGTGAATGAGCAAACTCTTCTTGACAAAGTGAGATTCGATATTTATAATCAAACAAAAATAAGCTACAGATGTGTGATGAGTAAGGTAAACAATACACATGCATACACTCACAAATAAAAATAGTCAAAGTTAGTGAGTGAATAATTGACAAGATCAAAATATGGCTCAAAACAAATTGGTCTGTCCGAAAGCTAGAATAGTCCATGTGGGTTTGAGATAGTACTAGATTCCACATATTAAATTTGTCATTAAACGGATTCAATCAAACTATACAAATAAATTAGTATATAGAATTAAGTAGATATTTATTAATAAGCCCTCAGTTTGAACATTTCTGTACCAAGTCTGTTCAAAATCAATGAGGAATGATTCTTAATAAAATTCACTATACCCTTGATAGTATTATTTCATATAAAAATTTAAACTCACTGTAAAATTATTTTCATGTTTTGCTCGTTTCGGTGCAATACCTTTAAAATGTTTACGTTTATGTTCACGTTTCCATTGTTGTGATTGTTGATGTTGGTGTTCAGTATTCAATATAGAGAATATATTTATGTCTGAAGTAAGTTGTTGTTGTTGTTGTTGTTGTTCAAAACTATGTCGTGGTTGATAATACGTTTTTAAATCATTTTTATCATGTAAATCATATTCTAATAATTCAGTTGGTAATGTTTTTTGTTTTAATGAAGTACATGAAACATAAGGTGTAAATGCTGAATTATTTGTTTTAATAGGTCGAACTGAAAAACTTCGTCTTAGATTATCTAATATAAAGTAAATATGAGATAGAAAAAGAAAGTTATAAAACATATTGAATAATTGTCAAGGCTATAATTTATAGATGAACCAGTCAGAGTGGCGAAAACCCTAAATCTAATTTCTAACCCTAATCATCAACTGTAAATCATAATTCCAATTCCTCACAGTGTTTTGATTTATGGCAGCGAAACATGGCCTTTAAGAGTAGAAGACACTCGTAAGCTACTAGTATTTGACCACAGATGCCTTAGAAATATTGCTGGCGTCTGCTGGGATCACCGGGTAAGTAATAGTGAGGTTAGACGCAGGGTATTAAGGAATGATGGTAAATCAGTTGATGAGGTTGTTAATCTTCATCGACTGAGATGGTTGGGCCACGTGTTACGTATGCCTGAACACTGATTACCACGTCGTGCAATGCTAACGGGTGTTAGAGATGGTTGGAAGAGAATTAGAGGCGGCCAAACCAAAACGTGGCATCAGTGCTTGAAGTCACTAACCTCTAGTCTGAGCCATGTTGGGAGATGCAGACTACTTGGTTGGGGTTCGCGTGACTTTCGTAACCAACGGTTGGAGACTCTTGGTGACATGGCTCAGAATCGATCACAGTGGCATCGGTGTATACACTGTCTGTCTTCCCTTAAACTAAGAGATTAAAATCGCTTCATATCTTCCTTTCTATGTACTAAATCTTTCTTCCTGTACTATATCCTTATATGCAATCTTTCATATATTACCACCATTGACTTAACTACTCCTGTGAATCCGGTGTTCATCTTGCTGTGCTAATGCGGTATGGCAACCAGGACCGATGCACATATGTGCCTAGTCCTACGTTGTAGCTGACTGACAGTGGTTTATAACCCTCATTTAGGTGTACACTCTCAAGGTCACCTTAGCGTCGCTCAAAGGTCGTCCATAAATTATAGTCTCTCATCTTAAGTTCTGTTTTTTATTTGTACTCTTGTTAGATGTATCACTATAGATTTACTTAATTCTCAAGTACATCATCCTTAGATTGCCGTAAATCTACAGTAAAGAAATTAATTTACTGTTATACGAGCTTCTAAGTTAACATTTGCTTTCTATCTCATCCCTATACTCACTGTAAACTATTTTCGTTGAACGTCATGTTTTATAATTCTATATCTTAATGAGTTTTATTCCATATGCCTACAACAATTAGTTTCGTATGATATTCTCTTATTTTTCTCTCTGATGCGATGAGTAGTTGCTTAATCAATTGGAATGTGAATGACATGTGAAAATGATTTCTTTTACTCTAGTCGTTTGTGATATGCATTTACATCTTAAGAAGGATTATAGATACCTAATTGTATGATATTTGAAATACGTTCATGTAGTACGTTATTGAATTGTCATTGTGAAATACAACATATCAAAATAGGGGTTCGTGGATATTGTAGTAGTTTTAACAGTTGAATTCATGAGTCGATTTAAGCTAGACCACCATTGAAAACTTGAATGCACTGGACAGCTGTTTTCTCCTGGTATGGGACTCCTCAGCAACGCGCGTCCACAACCCTGCACCGAAGGGACTCGAGCCAAGGGCCTCCGGTCTCGCTTAACCTTTAGACTCCTTAGCCGTCATCCATGACCATGAGCAGCCATTCATCCATTGTCTGAGGTGGATAAGTGTCTCACACCCACGGACATGGATTGGACTCCACTAGTTACGGCTTCTCACTAGAACTCCAGGAAATCCATCTTGAAGCTAGTCACTAGTGAGTGAACAGTCGCTCAGTTTTTACAGGTTGCTAGTGGTGATCTAGCTTAGATCGGCTCGTGAATTTGACTGTTAAAAATACAACTACGGTTTGTACAAATGTGACTGTTGATCTAACTGTAAATAAATGATATAAAACTTTGTGTATTTCTAAATCATTTTGATTTATTTCGGGAGTCAAACAAATCTTTATCGCTAGTCTTCGCGTCTTTTGTCTTGTGACGGTTTCACAGTCAGATGCTAACATCGAACCATTCGGATGAGGATATTGTAATTATCTCAATCCTACAGGTCAGCTGACTTCGAAGCTGGATAATGAGTCTTCCAATCTCAAAGTCAGAATAAGTCCTTTTGAGATTACAGATACCCTTTTCCAGCTAGAACGAAACTCAGGTCAATAAACAGTCTATTAATTATTTTCTTCAACTGTGTAATAGCTCTACCGCAACAGATGAATCATAATCTGAAAAAAAGTATTGATTGCTGTTAAATTGGAATGACTGTGAATCTGAGCTAAATAAGAAGAGTGATAACATGTCAACTTATTCTGAAAACCAAATCTACAATAAATAAACATCAATTGAGGAGCAGTGGAAAGTAAAATACAGATGAGAAAAGCTTCCAGTACTAGTATGACGCTACTGATAGAAAATTTTTAATTTTACGGTACGACATTACAAAGCATACTATCAAATAGAACAATCGACCTATCTAGTATCACTTTTCAACCAGTGGATTATAAGTCCGAACACCATAGCGTTTAATTCAGTTTGATCTATGAGGCGGTATCATTAGTCTTCACACAGTCACTGTAACTCACAATCGACTACGTAAAGTGATACTTGTTAAGTGAGTTACAACAGAATGCTATTACATTGGTTCAAAATTTTTTCGGACAGACATTAGATCTCCATGGAAAAATTTATCAATGAATTAGTACTATTTTTACTCTTAAATCATCTACTTACCAAATTTTAAATGCTCATTCCAATGTGAACGATCATCATTAGTTTCATCAAATTTTGACTGTTCTTTCAATGAAAAAGGATCTGAACGACTAACCTCTGACTTATAGTATGGTTTTGGCGTAGTTTGTTGTTTAACTGTAGGAGAATGAGATGTCTTCGATAATCTAGCAACAGGTATAACTAGGGTATTTGGTAATTGTCCCAGACTACGATTGGTTGGATATTCATATAGGTTGGATGAATTATATGTTGATCTTTTCTTTTGTACTTCTCTTAATTGATGTATAGCACTGGAGTGGTGATTTATCGATTGATTCCATGCTGGACTTGAGTCTAATTTATGTATATAACCTAAAGGTTTGGTTGCACGATCAAAAATTTCAGCCAATCCAGTCGTTGTTGACTTTAAATCATATTTTATTACATCATCAACATCACTTGTTTGTTCTTGATCTTCAACATCATCAACACTATCATCATCGTTATTATCTTCAATTGTTGGTGTTGTTTGTTTATTTAAAGTAGGGATTGTTGAAGTGTTATTTGAACATAAATTTGTACAACTGAAATAAGTACATTTACATGAAGTTTTTAAAGGTTTATTATCTTCTTTTTTTAATGTATCAGTTACATTTGTTGTTGTAGTTGTCAGTGTTGTTGTTGATACAAAAGTACCAATAGTAGTGACACTTGAAACATTGAATGGTAATTCTTTACCTTGTGATTTTTGATTTAAATTATCAACAAAATTCAAAGTTTCACATTTACAATCATTAATCTGTAATGATTTAAAATTAGATAATGAACCAGATGAATCTAATGCTGTAATTAATGAAGTTCCAGATTCAAATAGTATACTATTACAAACACTACCGAAATTGGGATGTTTCTGTTTTTTTGACCGATTCACTAAAGTCATTCCAGCTGAAATAAGACCACAAATAGCACAAAATCCTAAAAGACCAGCAATAATTGGCGTATGATGACGAAATTCATCATCATCTTCAGAGGTTGATGATAAACTATCAATTTTTTTGGTAGTTGATATTTGTTCGGTAGTTTGAATATTCAAGTCTACAAAATAAAGGTGTAAACATGTAAATAACTTTTAAACATGAATGGATCAATGTTAGACTACCATTGAAAACCTGGAGACAGTGGAAGGCCGTTTCGTCCTGATACAGGACTCCTTAGTAATGCGCATCCACGATCCCGCACGTGGGATTCGAACCCAGGAACTTCGGCCTCGCACGCGAAAGCTTAACCTCTAAACTCAACAATTTGCACAACCACATACATTAGAATCGTATTTATTCGAAGATTATATTTTACAAATCTTTCTTCAATCACTTCATATCAGCCATTTATATCCATTTGCGAAGGTTTTTTTATCAATCCAAGTATTACAGTTAATGTTTTTCATTCATCAGGCAATGAATACATGGAATCCAACTATATTCGTCTTTTGTTTTTTTTCCAAAGGATAGACAAGAAAGAGAATACATTAACAAATGGATTGTGTCATTTTGAGATTTCCATTACTTAGAGTCGCTATAGATTGTAGGTCATTCATAATATCACTCACGGACATTCATATTTAGTTCAGACAAATTTGAATGAAGAAGGTTCTTTGTAATATACAGTTGTAAAATAGGTACCCTAAATATCTGAACAGGCCACTGCTATAGCAGTGTTAATCCGCTAAATAATTAAAACACAACAGTCTGGTTGATTAATCTATAAGGGATATTGTTGTTTGAAATACCTTTGACGTTAATCATGAGGATTTTAACAAATTTTAATATCACGGACAACCATTAGAAATCTAATTATACTAGACTAATTTTTCACCCTAGTATCAGCACCATGTAACGTTCAGGGCTAGGAGTGATTGAGTTACCTTTAGAACACTGAGTTAATTGGTCTGGTTAATTAAATGATATGATTTAACAAAGCGTAAAATAACATGACTTCCTTCAAGGCATTTGATTTGGATGAATGACAGATATCAGTATTTACTGTATAAAGGTAAGAATGTTAAAACACATCTTTCCATTTGATAAACAACGATACTGAAAATTTCCTTTACGGTATAAAGATAACTTGATTTATGTTGCTATTTCCAGCTTCAGAGGATTTATTGTTTCGTTTCGCAAATCATAAAAACAACAGAACTCAACTTATCATCAGACATAGAGACAGGTATCTACCTCAGTATAATGTAAGATGGTCACGTGATTTCATGGATTGGTTGAGGTTAGACATTGACATTGTTGGGTGCCGACTCAATGGTCTAGTCGTTAAGCGTTCGAGCGCGAGACCGAAGGTCCTGGGTCCGAATCCCTCTCTAGGGAGGCGTGAATGAGCACTGCTGAGGAGTTCCACAATAGGACGAAACAGCCCTCCGGTGCTTCCAGGTTATCAATGGTGGTCTATCATCAATCGATTCATGATCGCAGTCAAAAACTTAATAATCTCCAGATTAATTTTCAGGTCAAACCTTCTGCTTGATTATATTTTTATTTAATTACTTTTACTACTAATTAGTAGGTAAGTCATTTTCATAGCGTTTGTCATATGAATTTCTCTTGGTCAATCAATTCCGTATTTTAGATTAATCATTATGAAGTCGGATGTCATGAAGTTAACAAAATGGGATTTTTTTTTCTCTAGTTCTTCTGCTCAGACATATTTTTACCAATTTACTGTGAGCATTCTTAACAATATACAAAGCTAGAAGTTGTGTTCCATTTGAAATAAAATAGGACGCTTAATGAACTCAAAGTAATAATATATAACCTGATTACCTGTGTCCTTGATTAGTTATATTTTTTGTAGTACCTTTCAGTAATCGATTTGTATATTGTGATAATAAAATGTGTGTCCAAATTACAACGGAACTTAACTTAAACAGTTTAGTCAGCTTGATAAAAGTTTGGAAATCCAGCTTTTGATTAAATAGTATCAATCCTTAATGGATTCTTCTTCAGTCATTACCACTGTTTAATTTTTCGTCAACATTATGTGAGCAAAACATTACTATTTCACTTACAATATGTGAATTTCATGAATAATATCATAAATAATCATTAAAAAGGACAGGAAACATTAGACATCTACGTTGTTCGAGTTACCAATTCTTTAAATAGGGATCAAAATCAATATATTCAGGTCTTGCAGCTTGTGATTAACCGTCAGAATATTGAATCGAAATCAACTGATGTACGTTTACAACTTAAATCAGTTCTTAAAATAAAAATGGACGAGCTAATCAGAGGCGTTTGAGGGACTCCAAGGTCACGGCACCAATTTCACTACCAGATGCTCACGAACGACCGGTTCACTGAGGATTTTAGAGAGAACATGATAACTGAGCGGCTACAACAAATGAGAATATTGAGTAGTTCCTTTATTTTTTTATTTGTGGCAATCAAATGATATGTGGATGTTGTGCAGACTACCGTGATAATGTTGCCTTTCGATGTAATATGTGTTGGAGGAAGAAATCTACTAGAATAGGAACTATTTTCGCTCGATCCAGATTGAGACTAAGGCATATTATGATAATTGTTGCGAACTGTATAATAAAAGCACCAGTAATACTAGCTGCAGCCGGGTATCACAATGTGTACGGGTGATTCGGAGAGCTTACAGATGACAACATAAACGTGGTTATGTGCATCGTGTCGTTATCCATAAGCGACATTTTGTGGACCCAACAACCAGAGTGCACAAAAACAATAATGAAGCTATGTGGTCGAGGCTGAAAGCATTTTTTCGACCTTATCATGACTACAGAGGCCAACTATTATGGAACCATATGTATGAGTTCCTCTACCATATGCATTACGATTTTAAAACCTCTGAACCTCTTTCTAACCTTGACAAGTTTCTGAACCATGTAAAAGAAATATATTCCGTGTTTATCCTCTAGTTCTGTATAACATATTGTCAACTCTATACTAATTGTTTTCTAATTAGCTAATATTTCTCAAGATCACTTAAAATTCAATAAGTAAATTAATTTTTCAAAAAAAAAATTCTCACCATCTATTGAATCATGTTTATGTACAGGCATATCAAATGCTTCTAAACCATCTGGTGGACGTGGACACATTTCTTCATCTTCACCATTTGGACAATTGATTCTATTATTACATATTAAATTAGGTGATAAACAATAAATTATTTTAGGTAATGTTGGATGATATTGTAATGTAATAGGATTTGTAGTAATCATTTCATTATTATTTATAGTTGTCATAGTTAAAGGTGTTATAGTTTGTAATGTTGACATTTTTTTATTTTGTTTATTATCATTATTATTATCTTTATCATTATCATTGTTGTTATTATCATTGTTGATTTGTTTAGATGAAGTTTTTGATCGTACAGTTAAATTGAAATATTCTTTATAAGCAATATAATCAGTTGGTCGTATACATGGTACCCAATCATTTTGACAAAGTGCTAAATAAATGAAAATGATTTAGAAAGAAATAAAGAAATACAAGCATTTTTAAAAATTGTATTCATTATGTTATGACTTTATGTCCGGCTAATTATCAAATGATTTATCCATCAATCAAAATACGACTTATACAATCTTAGCACTGTACCAACACCAATGACGTTCGATCGGTATGAGCAGCCTAGCGTCTTTATTGGTTCTATGTCCGCCTAACCCGTCCACTTGAGTCCAGAACACCAATACCAGCTTCTACTATGCGAATCGAATCGAATCATTTATTTCAGACATATTGGGTTTATATATCAATCAAACAGACCGCAACGAATCATAAAATAGGAAATAACATTTGTACACAATAAGGCGAAAAAGTGGCTGTGAACATGGGAGTCAGTAGTCAATAAACTGAACAGTAAACCGTACAATAATAAATTATAGGTCAAAATGAAGCTTATAATAAAAGGAATATAAATATGCATAATCTAATTCCTGAATAATTATACCATAAGAATGTATAGATAATATTAGTCAATTAATATGTCTCCGAAGTTACTCATGATTTAATCTTCGCTCGGATATAACACATGAAAAGAAATTTTTGGGGAGACTATAATTTATGAACGAATTGATCGGGTATAAGATAACAGGTCTTGGATTTTGGCGCGAAATTCACTCAACCTTAAATCTAATTCCTAACCCTAACCATCAATTGTAAATCATAATCCTTATTCTTCAAACTGCTTTATGATCCTCAAGGTCAGTCTGACGTCGCTCAAAGGTCGTCTATATAATATAACCTCATTAAACTTTTTTTAAAACAACTATTATTTATGTAAAGGATATTGTTCAATATTTATTATGTGATTAACTGTTATTGAGATATATATATCACTAATTCTGGTATATAATCATCGACTTTACTTGCGTTAGTGAATAACGGAATAAAATAAGTCAAATACAAGAATGAGTGTTTGAATACTTATATTTTGTGCACTCGTTGATCGGAACAGATAATCAGAAAATCGCAGCGAATGAAGCAAATAAGAGAGAGCAAAACCAAATGAAAGAACTCAGAGTGGAGAAGGAGTGTGAATTATTATTTATACTCACACAAACATAAGTTACAGACATGTAATGAATAGGATAAAAAGCATTCATACATACTCTTATATAAAAACAGTCAAGTTTGACAAGCGAATAATTAACAAAGTCATAACGGAACTTGAGAAGAATGGATAAATTGACCTTTCTAGAGGCAAGAATAAGTTGTATGGGCTTAACATAGTAACAGGCACTACAATCCATATATGTGGTTTCAAATTGATTATAAGCTGTTTTTATTATGTCTTATTTAATATAACTGTGAATAATACAGCTACTTTCTGTTATTATAAATTTTCATAGAACAAGGATACAATATTTATTATGTAATAATATGAAATCATTTATTCCATACATTCTATTCATTTGGTTTCTACTTGAAACAGTTTTACTGTAATGTTAAAAATGATTAACCTCCTTTAATTTCGTATGTGAGAAGCCCCCAAATGCCCTGGTACAGCCGAGAGTGGGGAGAGTCCGCTCTCCCTCTCGAAATGCTCTCACATGGCCACGCGTATATAGCCTCTGCCAGGGAAGTCCCACTCACTGCCTTCTCGTGACGTGGGTGTTGTTTACGAAAATGAGAGGACGAAAAGCGAATGTCCGGCGCTTTAACCGGATCCCAAAACAAATCACTGGTGCACATGTGCTCCAGTATCCTGCGGGAACAAATGGCGTATGAACCAATTGTTGGTCACCGGCTTCCATGTGACTGCATATCCTTACGATGCTCCACTGCCTTGTAGATCAGACCTTCAGGTCGGAGGCTCGGGGAGTGGCCCCCTAAGAAAACCACCTGCTTCGGTTTGGGCACCCGGGCAGTATCACAGCCCTCACATATATCGAATGAGATTTGTGTGGCGCATATGTATTTGGTGCCTCATTGTACCAATGTTTATTTGTTAAAATAAATAAAAATAAGTTGTTGACTGAAATAGGAGATGATATAAATGTAGATAAATTGAGAACAACAGTTATGAAACCTAAAACTGTTACAAGTGTTTCAACTTCTATTGTCTTGAAAGATAATCAATATTTGTATCACCACGTAAAATAATCAAAACTTTCAGTCTTAGTTTGGCGAAGTTGCATATATATATATATATATATATATATATATATATATATATATATATATATATATATATATATATATATATATATATTTAAAGTCTATACTATAATTTAATTAGAGTAATTTTGTGGAGATACGTTCATTGTGAGCCCTGAAAATCATCTGTTGGCCCGGATGATGAATCTGATAGTACGATTAAATCACAGTTTATTGTTTCTTAGTTTTCATTGGTATATCAACTGAGATCACTCTATGGAGAATATAATATACCATGATTGTTGTTGTCCAAATACATTTCTACTGTTTCAATATCTCTAACATAGAATGAAAATTAATATAGTAATTTAAAGTTTCACTTCAAGTAATTTCAGTTTAGTGATTATCTGTGAGTTAAAATGATAATATCAAGTCGATTACTATGACTCACTATTATGTCCTGGGGCTGAACTTTATAAATAACCTATCATTTGGCCAACTCAATCTAGTGAGGCTTCAATTTACATCATTCACTTGCTATTTAGTCTTACAATAGCAAATGAACTGCTTGGGATTTCTCTGATAAATTCTCCACTAAATTTATGACACTTTCAGTTCTGCAACATTCACCATTCTTTTCACTAGACTATAATTTGGATGAAAATAAATTTGATTTAATCTACATACACAGAATCATAATAATCATCTCAAGATTTATATCACAAACTGTGCTGCAAGTTTTCTCTGGACATTTAGAAACTGCTTATTCATTAAAAGAAACCTTGTATCACCTATAGATACATATTGGCTAGTTCTGGCTTGGTAATAATAATTACAAAACAAGATTTCTGGTCACTTAGCTTAATATCACATCATAAATACAATTGTTAGAATTCAATCAATACCATCAATAATATAAAGAGCTGGAAAGGATTACCCAAGACAGGGTTGGATGGAGAATACTGATGAGCGACCTATGCTTCTTCACGAGGAGTAACAGGCGTAAGTAAGTAAGTATCAATATGTCATGCCCCAACAAGAATAATGGGTGGTAACTTTTGGGATCTATTGATGGACCAATACTAAACGTATATTTCTACTGTATAATTATTAAGTAACTAAACTATGCATATTTATATCCCTCTTATTACAAGCTTTATTTTGACCCATAAACTGTTATTATACGTCTTACTATTCTTAAGTTATACCCAGTATATTAATTACTACCTCCCTCATTGACAGGCACATCTGGCTAACTCTTGTACGAATGTCGTTTCATATTTTATTGGTACGTTGTGGTCTGTTTGATTGGTATATAAACTCGGTATGTTTGAAATATAATGATTCATATCGTAGAGGCTGAGATTGGTGTTCTGGACTTAAATGGCTGGTCTAGACAGGAATCAGGGCTAATCAGGACTCTAGGTTGGTCGTACGTGTTTTACGCGTCTTTGGTCCGATCCATAATTCACTACCCTCTAATCGGCGGTCACAAGTTACTTACTTACTTACGCCTGTTACTCCTCGTGAAGAACCATAGGTCGCTCACCAGAACTCATCATCCAACCCTGTCCTGGAAAATCCTTTCCAGCTCCTTCCAGTTCCCATTCATCCTTTTCATATCTGCTTCTATTTCTCGACGTAATGTGTTCTTTGGCCTTCTTCTTTTCCGCCTTCCTTCAGGATTCCAAGTTAGGGGTTGCCTCGTGGTGCAGTTTGATGATTTGCGTAATGTATGTCTTATCCATTTCCATTGTCTTTTCCCAATTTCCTCTTCAGTTGGAAGATGGTTTGTTCTCTCTCACAGTAGTCTGTGGCAGGTGGTATCCGGTCAATGGATGTTGAGTATCTTGTGTAGACAGCTATTTAAAAATACCTGTACTTTCTTGATTGTGGTTGTTGTAGTCCTCGAAGTTTCAGCTCCGTACAATGGAACTGCCTTGACATTCGTATTGAAGATTCTCACTTTGATATTGGTTGAAAGTTGTTTTGAGTTCCATATGTTCTTCAACTGTATGAATGCTGTCCTTTCTTTGCCAATCCTCGCCTTTACGTCTACATCTGAACCTCCTTGTTCATCGATGTTCCTCCCCAGGTATGTGAAGGATTCTACATGTTCCAGAATTTCTCCATCAAAAGTAATTGGATTGCTGTTCTCCGTGTTGAATTTGAGAACCTTAGTTTTCCCCTGGTCACAAGTCATAACACAGTAATAATATAATATAATATAATATAATATAATATAATACTGATTGACTTATATCAATCAAAATGTATCTGGTATCATATACTACTTACCTTTTTTAATTGCTGTAATAATAATTTTAATTTCTGGTAATTTTGTTATAGATGGTTTACTTTTATTATTTATATATTCATATTCAATAATAGATTCAGTTGATTTGAATTCAGGTGATATGATAATTCTCACTATACTACGACCTAATTTATTGATAAATGGTTTTAAATAGGGTTGATTACATACTTTAATTACTTTGGGTATAAATTGTTCATTCATTGGTCTATTTACTTTATTACGTTTTAATAATACAGATGGAATAGGTAATATGGTATCATGATTAGATAAGAAAAATTCTTCATAGATTTCAATGAAATTATTTTTACATTCTGGATCAATGAATTGAAATTTTATAAAGTTTAAATGGATCATAAGCATCTAATAGAACAAAACAAAAGAAGGGATAAATGATAATAAAGTGATTATTATAAAAGGGAATAAGATTAATAATCGATATTGTAGTTCATGATTTGATTTCAATTAGTGATAAGTATTTGTTAATTGAACATTAATATTCAGTTGCTAAACTATTCTCGTAACCCCAACCCCCCACCTTCCAAGCAAGAACTAAACAGCAACATGAATACGTGAGAAAATTTAAAAAAAAACTATTTGTGAGATGCATTTTACTTCAAAGGTTTGGTTGAGTACAGAAAATATAGGGTTTTTATAATATTTTAGATGTTTGTGCGTTTCCTGAAAATTCTGGAATGCTACTAAACATATTAGCAGTATAGTGATCAGTCAATTAGAAACTCGAAATGTGACTTTTCACTTTCTTGATGTTTCTGGTTAAACTTCAAGTGAACACTGATTGGATAAAATGCTTCGGAGTGTTTTTCTGATTTTTTCTTGTCTTTTGCAAGAAGTTTTCTGGATCATCCTAACAGTTATATTGTATGAATGGTTGTTATTGAAATATATATGTCGTCAATTCTCGTATATAATTATGGTGACCTACTTTTATCAAGACAACGTGATTGGTATAATGGAAACAATTATTATTATAATGAATTATACCAGTGATTGTTTCACTGTACCTGTTTGTTTAACTGTACTAAAAAAACATACATTCTTCCATTGAATTTGACCTTACACGCTCTCAGTTACGCTCAGTAGTTCCACTTGTACTTTTTAGCACGATCTCGGTATTATTTCGATACCACGAGATTACCAGCGAATATATCTTACTGCAACTTTTGATTGCCTTCTGATATTTGGCTTACGGAGGGATCTAACGCAGTAACTGGCACGTAGTCTCAGTGTAGTGGTGGTCATAGTCGACCGCTACTCAACGCCACCCTACATAATTATCGAGTTAATAAATAACTGAATTAAATAAATCAAATATGAGAATGAGGTTCGATTATGTTGATTTCGTACACTCATTGACCTGGACAAATAATCAGAAAGATGGAGAGAAGGAAATGGCGAGACTATAATTTATGAACGAACTAATCATGTATAAGATAACATGTCTCGGATTTTGGCACGAAATTCACTCATCAATTTGGCTAAATAGAGTTTTGGTATTATAGCTGAGGTCAGTTCATGATGATAATTATAAATGTAATTTCTGACTTTAATCATCAACTGTAAATCATAATTTTAATTCCTCACACAGGTTTGTAACCCTCATTTTGTTCTAGTTATTAGGTGGAGACACTCAAGGTCAGTCTGGCTTCCCTCTAAGGTCGTCCATATATTATAGTTTCACCAAGGTAGCGAAACGGATTGGAGAGGATATATGAACCAACTCAATTTAATTAAGCTTTACTCAGTAGTTATAGCCAAATCGAATCGATGCGAAGCCAAATAAGGCAAAGTAAGGCGAGGCGAATAATTAACAGGGTCAAAATGTGATTTAAGAAGAATGAATGGATTTGTCTGTCCAGAAATTAGAATAACCTATGTAGGCTCGACTTAAGTTAGCAACTACAAATCAATTATTTAGTTGATAATGTTCAGATATTGTATACTTAGTCACAAAAAAATCACATCTTGAACAGATCTGGTAAAACATGAACCTAGACAATTGTTGTATTAGGCGATCGACAGATATCTGGTACTGCTATACATGTTTGCTATATTCTAGGTCAATATACTAACTAAGTGAAAAGATGAAGGGTGACTAGGACACCATATTGGCTAACTGAATTGAAATGTATACACCAGTCCACTCATTAGTATAGATATGTGTTGCTTAGATAATTAAGCTAGATCATGATCGAATAATGAGCACACGTCAGTATCTTTAACTAATCATTTGACGTATAAATGAAATGTCTAATTTGCCCAACATATCATCTTTCCTCCTTATAAAGTAAGTCTAAGTTTTTGGTGTGAGTTCTAGAAATTTCAATAAGTTACAATAAAACCCTGTGAATTCTAGTAAATGGTTTTTTTAAGAAAACAATCTTGCTAATTTAAATAGACTTTCAATAGAAACTACTGTGGTGTTTTCTACTTATATTGACATAAGTAGTATATGATGTTAGTCGTGAACAGAAGTTCTGGCAGCAGAGAGACAAAAGGATCGAACAGTAAAGAATCAAGACAGAATGCAATTTGTATGAAAATGCAAGAACAATGAAATCTGAGTCATTTTGAGACAATCGATGGACATTTTGCAAATTAAGCATTTACTGTTTGATTGTTAGATTTTATTAACAAGTTCTGTAACTTTGTGTTAAATACATTCGATTGTCCCCACTGGTGTTCTTGTTCACTACACTACTGGTTACTTTATTTTCTAAGTAATTCTGTTGCTATCACTTCTTCCTGTCGTGTATCGATTTGAATTAATGGAAATATTTGTACATTCTCTATGCTGTACAGTTTTATTGTAAATATTACATTGATTCATTTAAATATAACACTATCAAAGTATTAGATGGTGGTTGGAGGTAGTCGGCAGGAAACCTTGAACCCGGGTTTCGTGCTACAAGGCACTCGTCAGCAAGGTGTACCTATAATCTTGAGGGAACTGCTGCTCCCTGGCGGATTCGGTCTCGTGTCACCCAGCTTCACAGTCAGAGACGTTACCACTGAGCTATCCGAGCCGCGACTGACCTCCTGTAGGACTGAGATGTAGTCCCAATTGATTGATTGCCACCCAGTGATCAATCACTTGTGACTATCAAAGTATACTTCAAATAAACATAACAAATAATTGTCTACATTTACCATATCAACAATGAAAAATTTAATAATAAATACAAAAACACCCCCACCCCTCATAAATTTCTTACCAAATCACTTTTGTTTGTTCGAAAATCAATAATGATTTCAATTAATCGATCAATTGGATGAGATTTAGTTTTTATTAATGTTTCTGTATAATCATCCCATAATTTCATTAAATCTTTTGTTTCAAATATCATTTCATTATCGATAATAATTGTAGTTGTAACAATTGCTATAAAAAAATTAATGTACAAAACACAATAGTAGTATAATTAATTTTTAAGTAAAACAAATAAGTCAGTTGAACTCATCGCATCAAGTAATTATTCATATATAGATATATTTAGTTTGTATGGAGCGCTGGTCCTGGGTTCGAATCTCGCGAGGCTGGATTGTGTATGCTCATTGTTGAGGAGTTCCACAATATAGGGTGAAACGGCTGTCCAGTGCTTACAGGTTTTCCATTCTAGTCTAGCTTCAAATGACTCATGATCTCAACTATTAAAATTACTATAATATCCACATAAATCTCTTCTGATATTAAAAAGAATATGTTATCACTATATGATACTAGAAAGTAGAATGTTAAAAAAGAACCGAAAAGAAATGTTAAATTATATCTCGTCAATTTTGTAAACCATTCATGGTGATAATTTAAGTAGAATCAGCTTATCCTACGGATTAGGAATTTATTGAGTAGAGGTCAGTATCATGTACTGATAAGAGTTAATCAATCAAGTTAAAGTAGGGCGTAGGTCTAAGTGATTTTGACATCATGTACATTACTTTTCTATATTAGATGACTAGTAGGGAACTCTGAGTCTAGGTTTGTTGTCAGTTGACAATCGTTAGCAAGGCCTATCTATAATTATAAGGTAATTGATATGCCCTGTACGATTCGAAACAGCATAGTCCAGCTTCATAATATATCATAGTGATTAACTTATTCACCAGGTACTTGAGTATAAGTAGTACTATGAATATGAGGGTAAATGATAATACCTAGCTCCCCAAACAGGAGCAAGTGGAATAGGTTTCGAACACGATCACAATGGCTAAAATTCGAATGTCTTAGTCACTATGCCACTGATCCACATGTAAGACATTACCATTGAGTTAGTCGATCTGTGGTTGGCTTCTCGTCATCCTTAGTGACCAATTAATGTAAATATTTCAGTTAAAAAAACGTTAGCTGTATTTAATACATTCTGTTTAGCGTTTTTTTCGGGATGCGATTTGATCTGTACATGATCGATCCTTACGGAATCCAGCAGCACATCTAAAATTAAAAAACATCTGGAACTCTAAACAACTGTCAACCAACACGAAATTCAGAATTTTCAATAAAAATGTCAAGACAGTTCTACTGTATGGAGCAGAAACTTGAAAATCTACGAAAGCCATCATCCATAAGATATAGGTGTTTATTAATAGCTGTCTACGCAAAACACTTTGGATTCGTTTGCCAGACATTATCAGCAACAACCTACTATGGGAGAGAACAAGCCAGATCCCAGCGGAGGAAGAAGCGCTGGAAGTGGATAGGTCACACATTGAGGAAAGCACCTAACTGAGTCACAAGACAAGCCCTCACATGGAATCCTCAAGGCCAAAGGGGTAAAAAACACCAAAGAACACATTACGTCGAGAAATGGAGACAGACATAGGAAGAATGAACGAGAATTGAATAGAACTAGGAAGGAAGGCCCAGGACAGAGTGGGTTTGAGAATGCTGGTTGGCGGCCTATGCTACACTGGGAGTAACCGCCGTAAGTAAGTAAGTAAGTACATTCTGTTTAACCACACCAAAGGATTAACATTATACAATATACTAAACTGTAACGAAATTTCCTTCTTATTAATAACTAACTTGTGAAAATCCATAGATCTGTAAAATATTTCTAATTTAAGGATAAGCTGATATTCATATTCTTCGTAAAACGCTTAATATAAGTCTTCTCATGACATCATTTTTCATCATGTAACTAATTTCAGGTATGTATTCTACGATAATCTCTTCTAGTTTCTTTAATAAACAGATAAGACAGAAAATAAACGAACCATCGTAATGATACTTCATGAGTTCTTCGAACATTAAATTCTTGGTAGATTGTAAAAAATTAATGAAATGAAAAAGTCGTTATGGTTGATAAACATAATTAGTGAATTAAATCATTTCAAAATGCGGGAAAATTTATGGCAATAAATATGTATAGATTCACTTGGTGTTGTTTTACTTGTATCTTCCCATTGCTATTTAGGACTGCAATTGATCAGTCTCATGTTAGTATATATGCATCCTATGCGGATTGCCTCGATATAGCCTCAAGTAACAAGCTTCAACCCATTATACAAGCAAGTGGCAATCAGGACTTAGTAGGTAAGTGGATAACGCGATGATGTTTAAAGCGAATGGTACCGGGTTCGAGTCCAGGAGTGAACATCAACTCTGGGATGCAGGTACATCCAGCTAACGAGTCCTAAATAGGACGAAACGCGCTTCCTGGATTCCACTGCTAGTCACTATCCATCTTTGCTTAATAAATATGTATGTTTGAAATAAAAATTGATTATCAAGAAATTTGAGCCAGATGACGTAATATGTTCTTCGATGGAATTGTAAGTACTAACTAGTCTATTAATGAACAACGATCATTAATAATGTCTTTTTTAGAAAGGATTAAATAGATAGGGATCAAACTGATGATATGATATCAATTACAATCGAATAGAAATTAGAATGATTTACTTACGTTTCTGTGGTAACGGTTCATCAATATCTGGAAGAAATAGTAAAATGTATTCATTATTATTATTTATTAATGAAGGTTTTTGATGATTAGATGAGACAAAATAGTTGTTCAATAAAAATAAATGGATGAAATGTATTCATTGATATGACCAAGGGATGTCTATTCATGAGACAGTATTATTGACTTAAGCTTCTTCCTGATCGATTAAAAACTAAAGACAAGATCACTAGCTAGATGAAAAGATGTTTTGTATAATAAAATGTTATGTTTGTACACTGTATATGCGTATAAAATAAGGATGGTTTATTACCGTAGGGGGATTGAAAGAAATTAGCTGATGAGTAAATTATTATCTAATCAATTTAGATCTAACTATAAGTGTTATATCCCGATGAGAATAATGGTAACTGTTAGAATCTATTTCTGGACTATTACTATACGCATATTATCAGTATAGCGGTTGTGGAGATTGTTAAGTTTTTGATTGAGATCATGAATCAATTGATGTTAGACCACCGTTGGAAACCTGGAAGCACTGGACGGCCGTTTCGTCCTAGTATGGGACTCTTCAGCAGTGCGCATCAACGATCGCGCTCCCTGCGAGATTCGAACCCAGGACCTATCGGTCTCGCGCCAGGCGCTTAACCAACTAGACCACTGAGCCGGCATCCAATGGTGTTAGTGTCTAACATCAACCAATCCACGAAATTGTATTGTACAATTGTTAGGTAATCAAACTATTCATATTTGTGTTTCTCTTATCATAAGCTTTATTTTGACCTATGAAGTATTATTATACGATTTACCATTCTTGAGTTATACCCAGTCTATCAATCATTATCTCCTACATTCACAGCCACTTTTGGCTAGATCTTGTACAAATAAGATTTCCTATTTTATAGTACGATGTGGTATGTTTGGTTTGTATATAAATTGAGTATGTTTCAACTACATGATTCATATCGCAGAGACTGAGATTGATATTATGGACTTAACAGGAGTGGCTAAGCAGGAAGCAGGACCGGTAAGGACTCTAGACTGTTCGTACGGATTTTATGAGTCACTGGTCTGGTCAATAATTTACTGTTCTCTAATTGGCTGTATCTTTACATTATACATTATTAGGGACACAAACCGACAAGTTATAACAATAAGGCCATATCTTTAATCAACTTATCAGTTTGTAATGAAATATAATCCAAGTAGTTTTCGTAAATAAACAATTGTTGATGTATAAATACTATTACTATATACTCTTCACCAACGTGTAGATTAATATTCATTAGTAAATAACAATTGAAATTATCATTCTGTAGTGGGATCATGGTGAATAATTTGGTTTATGTCATGGATTGATAGTAATTAAACAGCCACTTATAAAAAGAAAGCATTGGACGGCTGATATGTGTTAGAATGAAAATGCTTTCAGCTGAATATCCATGAAGCCACTGATAATTAAACCCAAGATCTTCAGGTCCCTTAGTAAACCCTTTAATCTTTAGACCATTGACCTGGTAATTAATGATTGAAATGTTTGGTTTCAATCAGTTGCGGAAATGAAAAAAAACCTTTTAGTGTAAATTGGGAGTAATTACCTCACAAGTAATATCGTTGAACTCTTCTGGTAATGGATTCTTACTGAAACTCTTGGGATTATCTCTCAGAATCAATCACTAATGAGCCACATAATATCACTATACTTTGGAGTTGGTTGCAAATTAGTCAAAGTATTTCAGTGGGAATATAACACTTAGTTGTCAGGCGGAAAGGAGTTTATTGAGTTTATTTTAACCATAACAAAATTACTAATATCAGGTTAATTATACTCTAAATATGTTTGCAAATTACATTAACAACTATATTCGGTGTGAGGTAGTTGAACACAAATAAAAATTCGAAGATAGTTATGTAATATCACGAATTGAATAAAGTATGACCTGCAAACCTTAGGTGTCAGTTGACTGATCTAACATTAGGTAATCGTCGAGAGAACTGGCGATCCTGGATTTTGATCTATGATAAGAGGTCCTATTACTAAGATGAAACAACTCTTTATGGTTTTCTAGTTTTCAATCGTTCAGTTCATGATGTAAACTATAAAGTAAGTAACCTGAATAAATGACGAAAAAGAGTATGCAGACACTTTTAATTGATTGGTTAACGTGTGAATAATCGACTGAAGCATTCTTCCATTTGAATATACAATGAAGGAAAGATAAGTTTAGACAAGAATATAAGAACTACAACCTTAAGTGAACAATGTAATGCTAAGAAAAATAATTTTTTAAAATTTGTCATATCCAGAGGTTAGGTTCTTAATATACCGCGCACAAATTGAGCACTCGAACGCTAGAACCTTCCAAGTTGCAAATAAGCAGACAATTCAAATGAATGCTATCCCAAACAATGTCAAATATGGTACAAAATTCTCAGGTATTTATACTTTTTAGTAAAAACGAAATCATCATTATAGTCATCCAATCCGCATACAGGGATTTATTAGCATTTGTCCAATAAGGAAGCTATACGTAGAGATTCTGGACTTCTCTTCCAAAAGATGATTGGATGGAATATCTTCGACTATTTCTGAGCTGCTTAGAGCTTCCTCGAGTTCACCTATGGGCCGTCCTCACATAATTCAATATTCATTCAAAGTATTCGATCTCAATTCTAATAAGATTGAATTCTGAGATCATAAATCTGATAACTTCTTAGAGACTTTAGAGTTTTCGGATACTTTTTTACATCATTTTATGATTAGCATTCTGAGATTAACAAATACTTAAACTTTTTGTAAATATGCTTTAATACAAATTAGTAATTATCTGTATTGAATAACTTGTTAGGCATTTGTTGCTAAAAATATTGGATTCAAGTTTCATTGTGTGTCAATACCTATTTATGGTAGTTACATCCAACTGATGAGTTCCAAATAGATTATTATACACGTTCATATTCCCATGGGTATACAGAAATCAAATATACCTTTTTAGTATGTATTTAGTTATCAATAGTATGAGAATAGAATATAGTATCCAGGATAGTTCTTGTCAATGTGGAAACTTCTTTAAAATTTTAGAATTTTTTAATTAAAATATTGACTTCATTCAATTCTATCATAAATTTCAGTTCAACTATCAAATGTTATATGAGTAATATATAGGAATTCTATTTCAAATCACTTTATATTTCTGTTAGGTACAACGTTCAGTGCTTATATATTAATTTCAATAGTTAAGATCATGAGTCACTTGAAGCTAGACCACCATGGAAAACCTGAAAGCACTAGACGGCCGTTTCGTCCTACTGTGGGACTCTTCAGTAGCGCGCATTAAAGATCTGACCTCGTGAGATTCGAACCCAAGAGCTTTCGGTCTTTACCTCTAAACCACTCAGCCGACCGGCATCCAACGGTGCTAATGTCAAACTTCAACTAATCCACGAAATCGAGCAACACATCCACCATTGTCATCAGTGAGTTACTATCTCACAATAGACCTGGTTGAAATCCACTGATCACTGCTTCTCATTAGATTTCCAGGAAATACATGTTGAAGCCAGTCACTAGTGAGCATATGTTTTAGAAATTGGAGCAAACTAACTTACTTGTTTGAGTGAAACTTTGTTGTAACAATTATAGAACAGTTATTTTATCCCTTTCAGATAGACCCTGATAATATTATCCAGATTCATAATGATAAAATCTTAATAAACTTGGTAAATATTTTTAGTTCTATAATTAAACCTACTTCTTAATTTACTAAAATAATAAACAGCTTGAAATCCAGCTTTTTCAATGCTAAAATCTGAATGATAACGTAATCGTAACCATTGACCAGTTGATTTGATTGAATGTAATTGACGATTATCTGAACAAAATCGACCAATTAATGGAGAGAAACCATATTCACCATCACGTACTTCTAAATAATCATTGATACAATCTGCTGAAGGTTCAAATTGAAAAGGTCCACGAAAGTCTAGAATAATTTGTTGATCTTTTTGTGGAGCTGTCATTTAAACGGAAATATCATGAAACGATTATGTAGATACATGATTGAAAAGCTTAAACAATGATAAGAAAGGTATACATAGACAAATAATAGAAAAAGAATCTCTTAGTGAATATAAAAAGATATAATGAACTTAGAGGTTGACACAAATATCCACTAGTCGGAGTTCCCATACTATTTCTACAAGGTGAGATAAGATAAACTGAGTAAATGACAAACTACTGAAAGAAAAAAACAACAACTTTGGTATTAAAAGTGGCTCAACCTTGAGAACATAGTTCGAAAAAACTAGATGAAATAGTATATATGAAAGAATACAACATTTCGAGTAAATCTATATGGGCAATTATGACTAGTCAAGAGCTATATTACACAGCATCTAGAATCACCATTCATGGATATCTCGAGAACTCCAACCCAGTAGTCTTCATTCACTAATTTGTCTTAGACCACCGTTTAGTCACTTCATGGTTCTTATCACCTTTAGCACTTTCTAACTACACTAATAATTGAATACCGATATAGGTTATTTATATTTATGTATTAACATACTATCGAATGTAACACAATGTTTATTGCATTTATAACTATATAACATAAAGAATAATTGATTTAAAAACAACTGTTTACTAAGATAGTTATTATTTTCAAATATATTCTAAGATGATTCTTGAATGGAATATACTACTTTAATGTTAAACAGTAGTTTCATCCGTATATATAAAATAATGTTTAAAATCATGATTATTAAATGCATTAAATCAAAGCTAAACTAAATATATCCATAAAATGATGATATATTTACACGTCTAACCCTATATATTGATGCTTACGAATTATTATTATGATTAGCCGGTTGGATTGATAAACAACTAAATATAAACATTGAAAATCAATAAAAATCAGTAGTATCACCCTACCTAAGTAGAAAATAATGAATCCTTTTAATAAAAACAAACAAAGAGATTATCACAAAACTGCTGAAGAGCTATGTCATTCTAACATAAAAGGAAATTATTCTTTAATACTGAATAGTTAGTTAACCGATTTATTTTAATGTTTACACATACATCTATATATATCTATGTATCTACCTATCTATCCCTCCCTTTCTGTCTTTTATACATAAATGCAAATGGATACACTCAAACACACACACATACATACATACATAAACATGCATAGAAACGTTTCATTTTAATGTGATGATTTCATTTATTAATATATATGCTTAATGTTAGTTATCAAATATCATTTTTTATTTATTTTAATACATTACTCTTATAAGTAGTATAGTGATCGTAAAACAAATTAACAAAATTATTATCATTATTGTTCGTTTTTTTCTTCTTCTTCTTCTTCTTTAGTTTATTCATTTCCTATTAAAGTTTCTATGCATGTTTTCAGAAGTCATCAGGAAATGAACTGTCCTAATAAAATTACATAATAAAAAATGCGTTATAATTATCTTATTACATTCACTAAATCTATTGTTATTATTCGTATTACATAATCAAGTATGATAATCTTTCTATTATGTCTTCTTCTATTACTTCTTCTTTTGTACGCATAGTTCTGGTTTCAGTTCATGAATAGTAAAAGCTTTGTCTATTTTTGGGCGTTGGATACGAACAAATCAAACTGTAGATCAATAGAATGATTACAGTCGATTAGATGTTTAAGTATACAGCTTATAACTGCTTCCTTTCATCCTTGTAGAATTAGGATATGTTGGGATATGTTATTGTATCCGATTTGATAACGAGCTCTGGTTAAAACTAATGTCTTTAGAAAAGTTATCATATATATGTATATATATAACAATAGTTAAAATCATAAGTCATTTGAAGCTAGACCAACGTGGAAAAACTGGGAGCACTGGACGGCCGTTTCATTCTGGTATGAGACCCCTCAGCAGTGTGCATCCACGATCCCGCCCCTCGCGAGATTCGAACCCATTCGTCTTCTTATTACACTATCGAAGTTTATCAAACGGACTAATTGCTCTATGGCAACTGTGCCTCTTTTCCTACTCTTAGTGACAAACTTTAGGGAAATGACTAAATAAATTCACTTGGTATTGTTTACTTGAAACTTCCCATAGATGTTTAGGACTTCGATTGATCAATCTCTTATTGGCGTATGTGCATACTGTGCGTACGCCTTGATATTGTCTTAATTTACAAGCATTATAAGCAAAAATGGATAGTGACTAGCAGTGGAATCCAGGAAGCGCATTTCGTCACATTTGGGACTGGTCAGCTGGATGTATCTGCATCCCAGAGTTGATGTTCACTCTGGGACTCGAAACTAGTACCGTCCGCTTCAAAAACCATTGTGGATAAGTGTTGCTAAAATATATGCTCAAAATATATTAAAATGTAACCATGTAAATGTATACATAGTATACTGAGGAAATAATAATTTCTGGATATAAGAACATTTGAAATCAAAACTAATTTTCTATTATTGTGACTACTAAAGTTCATTTCTGTTAAAAAAAGTTATTCACTGGATAAACTATTGGCTTTTATACCCATTTTAAAAAGGTAGAAACCATTTATATCATTTTAAGCTTATTTGTATTGTAATTAACTAGAACACAAATGGCGATAATCGAATGTAATTAAACACAAATCTCAGAACATCTTAGTAAAATCTGAGAACCATACAGTAAATAATCCATTTGGAAAATGTCAATCAATCGTCTCAGACTTCATTGTTCTTTTGCTTCCACACCGATCAATATCTGTTCTCACTCTCTTTCCTTTGAGCTTCTTAACTTTCTACCGCCAGACATTTCACCTGCGATTGATGATACATGTTACTTATATCTGTCGATATCAGTAGCACACACCACAGTATTACTGCGCTAGAAGTTTGAAAGGTGCAAAAATGAAAGGTGTGAAAAACTATTTAACTAAACTGAGGGGAGGCTAGTGTGATTGTATATTTAAAGGACAGCTTTTTTTATTGTTCATCATATTTAATGAATTATTTTTTCTCGTTAGCATTTTATTTAAAAGGCCACATTCCTACAACTGAAGAACACATAGAACTTAAAACAACCGCGTGTCAATCAATATCAAAGTCACAATCTTCAATATGAACGTCAAGATTTTCAGTTGTACGGTACGGAGCTGAAATTTCGAGAACTACCACAATCATCATCAAGAAGGTGCAAGTATTTATAAATAGCTGTCTACGCAAGATACTCTACATCCATTGACCGGATACCACCTGCCACAGACTACTGTGAGAGGGAAAAAACCATCTTCCAAATGAAGAGGAAATTAGGAAAAGATAGTGAAAATGGATAGGACATATATTACGTAAATCATCAAACTGCATCACGAGGCAAGCCCTAATTTGGAATCCTGAAGGGAAGACGGAAAAGAAGAAGGCCAAAGAACACATTACGTTGAGAAAAAGAAGCAGATATGAAAAGGATGAATAGGAACTGGAAGGAGCTGGAAAGGATTTTCCAGGACAGGGTTAGATGACGAGTGCTGGTGAGCGGCCTATGCTCCTTCACGAGGAGTAACAGGCGTAAGGAAGTAATTATCATATTTAACATGTTATGTTAACAGAAGAAATTGAACCGCTGATTGCATACATTTCCTCAACATATTATCCATATGTATTATTATGGTTCACACCATCAAAGTATGCTTTTCCTAATCATATTTTATTCACAATTCTTCATAATATTCATACAAGTCTTAGGTTTGATCCATCATTTGGTTGTGGACACATATTGCTGAGAAGTTACATAATAATAAGTGAAATAACTATCTTGAATTTTCCAGTTTTTCAGTGGGTGATCAATTAAAGTCAGCCTATGATATAAGAATTAGAAACTTTTTATTTACACTTAAAAATTTAAATCAACTACCGAATTAATTGAACTTTTATAAACTTCATTTTGTTTTCTGATTGTTAGTTTTGCATTTTAGCTGATGTCAATTCGTGAAGAAAACCCTAAATCGAATTTCTAACTCTAATTATCAACTATAAATCACAAACTTTACTCTTCACACAGCTTTATAATCCTCATTTAGTCCGTAGTAAATTGATGGACATTCTTAAAGTCACTTTAGCATCGCTCAAAGTTCGTCCATAAATTATAGTCCCATCCGTATGTGTCGTGATTCCCTTTTTTTTTAAAAAAAAGGAAAAGTCGCATTTATTCGACTCAAACACTGATAACATTGTTCAGAACGACAATGTAAACTTTGCAATGATTAAAACATTCTGGATTACGTAACACATGAGTAACATTAACTACAATTTTAGAAATCTTTTTAACTCACCTTTAATAACTTTGATACAATCAGTATTTGGTGGATAATTATCTGGATATAATGGACTAGTGAATGTAAATAATGTTGGTTGTCGATTACGTAACACTGTTTTTAAACGTTGATTATAATCAAATAGATGTGATTTATCTTGTTTTGGTAATTGTATTAATCCATTTAAACCAATAGGATCAAATTCAATTGTATTAACCCAATTTGTTGGTTTATTACGATCCCGAAGATTAGTACTTCCAGATAATGATGATGAAGTAGATGAGGAAGAAGATGATGAGGTGGAAATTGATGAAGAAGAAGAAGTAGAAGAGCTTAATGTGTCAGAAGAAAGTGATGAGCTAGAAAGAGGTACTGATCTGCTATTCTCGTTTAAATCATCCAAATAATATGAATTTATAAATTGATTACAAACAGTTGATTGATTAGGAAGACGATATAAATTCCAATAATCCATTTCAATTAATGAACCAATTATTAATTTATTTGATTTGATCAACTCTGTTTCACATTGTATATGATTAATGAGTATAGCTGTGAATAATACAATAAAATGAAGAGAACTACAATAAACGAAGTTGTTTTACTTATTCGCACTTGAAGGAAAATTTTCTAACCAATAACTATATCATTACATAGATGATGATATTAAGATTGTAAAGATTCTTTCAACGTTAAAGGAGCTTTCATGTAGAGTTGAAATTTGCTGAGGTATTGATGAAAACTAAATAAAAACATAAATTTACTTGGTGTTGTTTACTTGTTATTTAGGACTACAATTGATTAGTCTCTTATTGGTACATGTGCATTCACTGCTAGTCATTATCCATCTTTGCTTATAATACTTATGACCTACAGCAATATCGAGACAATTCGCACAGGATGCACACATGCCAAAAAGAGACTGATCAATTGCAATCCTAAAGAACATTTCAAAGATTCAAGTAAACAATACCAAGTGAATTTAAAATTTCACCCCATTGTTCAAGTAGGTGGCTAACAGGACTCAGTAGCTAAGTGGATAATGCGATGACGTTTGAAGCGAACGGTACTGGGTACGAGTCTTATAGTGAACATCAACACTGAGATGCAGGTGCATCCGGCTGACGAATCCCAAGTAGAATTAAATGCGCTTCCTGGATTCCACTGCTGGCCACTATCCATTTTTATTTATAAAAGAAAACTGATAAGTGCATTATCCAAATTCAGAACTCTTTGGCCATGTTCATTAGAAAATGTTAACTTTATACTACTACTAAGTTTATTTCAGTAGTTCACATTTTTACATTTAGTCCAATATGAACATATTTTTCATGATGAATTAATATCTATGATAAACGTAATACAGTAGTTATATTATGTACACTAATAACTTTCGTTTATTAGTTTATTCAGATAATTATGAAGAAAAACAACCTTGAATTCCCACTCATCCACTGAAATGGAACTTAGTTCATGTTAAGTTCATAAAAAGTAGTTATTTCAAGATTTACAATCGAATTCGATACTCAAATTACTGTATGCTTCATTCAAGTAGCACTTCTAACATAGAAAAAAAATCGTTGATAAAAAAAATAGCTACCAGAAAAACGGTTTTGTCTAGAGAGATGAACGTTGAATATTCATTATCTACATGATAAATCTTGTGTTTGAATGTTTAAATATCCAAAAATCTAATCGTTTTCATACTTTTTAATGCCAAACAGAGAACACAAGGTGGAAAACACAGAAACTTGAAAATTAAAAGCTTCCTATGAACAAGCCTCCAAAAACGTTTTTTCTCGTTGAATTATCGAAGACTTCTAATATTGTTTGATGAAGTACACTGTATTAAGAAAAGATATTTCATCACAAGCAGCTCTCGATCATGAAATTGACACATGTTTCTTAATTAGTATATGAATGGTAAAATCATTCATAATAATAAATACTCAATTCAATAAGAAAACACTACTGAGGAGTCGTACAACAGGACGAAAAGGCCGTCCAGTGCTTCCAGGTTTGCCATGGTGGTCTAGCTTCACTTGACTTATGATCTCAACTACTGAACTTACTACCATCTCCACAAAACCCTTACTGATACTAAACATTTATATCTAAACTTATGATTTTTTTGGTAATGGATATAAAGTTGAAATGAACCCTTATTTTATTTTATACAGTATACTCAATTATAATAAAAGATTCTCAGAAAAGAACTGCTTTATATCATACTAAAATTTGATTGTATAATAGATTGACTTGTAGAAATTTTAAAGTATTCATAAATGATGAATAGATTTAAACAATCAAGTTAAGATTCACTTCATTGAATAACCAGTAGTTAACTGAGGCTAAGTGGATAGAGTGATGATGTTTATAGCGAACAGCATCGAGTTCGATTCCTAGAGATTAAATGAGCTCTGAGATCATCGTAAATCCATGTGATTTATTTCCAGATTGGATGAAATATGCATTCTCTACTTGCAAAATTAGTTCCAGTCTCTAAGCGACTTCCACAGTATATATATATATATATATATATATATATATATATATATATATATATATATATATATATATATATATATGCTAAAAGAGACTGATCATTTGGATTCCTAAACATCAATGAGAGAATCCGAACAACTAATACAAATAAATATTCTTAATTAATTTCTAAAAATAGTGATTAGTTGCCATAAAAGTCTACGATCACCCTTCCTCTCATGATATCTCTTTTCGTAACCGATTATATTTAATTTATGAATTCTCCAGTAATATATATCAATCATCGAGCTGATGCTTTTTTAGCTTCCAAGAAGACGACAGTTTTCCAAAACGACTTTAGTTAAATCAAAGGTGCAAGATTGATCTTTCGAGAGGGCGAAGTGTTATGGATAGCCAACCAAAAGTAATCTAATAGAAAATTCAATCGATGCCAATCAAAAGTAACCTGAATTTCAAGTACATTCACTGGAGTCAATGGGTCCATTTCCTAAGGATAGAGTGTTATTTATATGAATGAGTATTTGTACATTTCATTCGGTAGTCTAATACACTCCTTGCTCAGTCTTGTGTTATTTCTGAAGTAGTCAGTTGGAGGGGGGGAGGTGTTAGCACTCAGCATATCGTATATCAGTATCTGATTTCGTACAGCGCATGTCACAATCAGTTTACATATCATAATTTCTTCCATTTATATTCTATTGATGCTTTTAAATGAGATCAAATGTTCAGCAAATATAAGTTTATTTTTTTACAAAAAAAAACAAAAAATGAAATTAAATTAAAAGAATTAATCCACAAGAGAATTTTTCTATATCTCAATGGATAATGAAAGAAAACAAATAAATCCGCCAACTAACTAAAATCATCATCATCATCATCATCAATGGAAGCTCCAATAATAATAAGAATCATAATAATGGGAACTACATATATTAAACAGAAGTGATACTTATCAGTACGAAACACCTTAGGAAGAAAAGAGGTGAAGATACAAGAAAACATATGGAAAAAACAATCAAATCTGTAGTTTCTTATTCATTTCTCTATCTATCCATCTATCTATCTATCCACACATCTATCTATCTATCCACACATCTATCTATCTATCTATCTATCTATCTATCTATCTATCTATCTATCTATCTATCTATCTATCTATCTATCTATCTATCCACACATCTATCTATCTATCCACACATCTATCTATCTATCTATCTATCTATCTATCTATCTATCTATCTATCTATCTATCTATCTATCTATCTATCTATCTATCTATCTATCTATCTATCTATCTATCTATCCACACATCTATCTATCTATCTATCTATCTATCTATCTATCTATCTATCTATCTATCTATCTATCTATCTATCTATCTATCTATCTATCTATCTATCTATCTATCTATCTATCTATCTATCTATCTATCTATCTATCTGTTCACACATCTATCTATCTATCTTTTTGTCCACAAATTTATCTACATATCTTCTACTATCTTTGAGTTGCTAATTGTTATCTTTTATATACACGTTTTTATTTCAATATCCGAATAACAAATTACTCCTTCTGGCTTGATTATAAAACAAAGAGTGCAAAAAATTGGTTTCAATATGTAATTGAATATTTAATTAATTATGATAGAATTATAATTTGCTTTATATAAGAAAACATTCTAAATTATAATGGATTTTTGAAAATTAAAAGTGATTAAACAAATGTTCTGCTTTTGGCGACTTGTTTGAACATCTGGACTATCTATTCTTTTCATCTAGATATTTCAACAAGTTATCTCATTTTGTTTGTTTTAATGCATCATTATGGTTATTCATCGTATAATCTATTCAAGTGCGTTTCTGTAAAGTGTACAACATTTCGTTGTGCAATTTACAAAATGCATAAATCAGAGATATCGTAATGGTTGGCAATATGTAGCGAAAGAAAATGTACATTATGTTCGATGCTCACATCAAACTGGTGATCACTCAATAGTTATCGTTAGGATAGACCAAGAAGTAAGAAAAGGGAACTTATTGAAATGCTTCGTGTTGAGAATTTCATATTGTACCAAAAATATAATATTGAATAGAGCTAATAATAATAATAGTAATATAAAACCAGTGTGTGTTTTTTAAATCATAAGGGATTAATCCACTTCGTTATTTTTGTCATCATTTATAGTCGACATCCAGTAAAACCTGAAATTTCTCTGACTTTCTCTGTGAGTAAACTTCATTAATCACCGTTTCTGGAACTTTGGAAATACTTTCATAACTAATCATGAATGAGTCCGAAATTATTTAATATCAGTTGGAAATAATTTCAGTTCGGACATCGTTAGTTCCACTACATCAAGATTCTCATTTACATGCTATCAACGAATCTTGAATGTCTTACATTTTGTTTGTAGAGAGATTATTGTTTTGAGTGTTGGAATAGTCTCAGATCATTACAGAACAACTGCACACTGGTTCTAATTTTCATAATCATTCAATTGACTTTAAACTGTGACAAAACGTAACGAAAAATATTTTTAAAAATCTCTCAGATCTATGAAATATATATAAGCAAGTTTTAGCAAGATTTAATACATATGAATACTACTATGAATACTATGAGTAATACAACAAATACTGTTATCTGTAAATCAATAGAAAGCTATTAACTACGAAAGAAATTCCACATAATAACTCGTCAGTATTCATTAACAACTTTGTTTTTTTTTAAAACAATAGTCGATGAGCTTAACATTTCACAATTTACTATTTTGTACTCAAACAACTGACAACAATTAGAACAGTACAAGTGTTACAGATAAACAACATTAAAAATTTTTTTGGATTGAGATCATGAACCAATTGATGTTAGACGACCATTGAAAACTTGGAAGCACTGGATTGCCGTTTCATACTATTGTTGGACTCCTCAGCAGTGCGCATCCACAATACTGTTTGATGGAGGCTCAATGATCTAGAGGTTAATCGTTCGTGTGAGAAACCGAAGATCCTACATTCAAATCCCTTTGGTGCGGGATCGTTGATACG